CAAAGAGCTAGAGAGGGTCTATGCCAGTCCTTCTATTTTGCAGGTGAAACTGAGACTCAGAGAGGTTAAGTGACTTGCTCAAGGTCACACAGAAGCAGAACAGGGATTGGAACTCAGGTTCCTGAGGGCCAGCTCAGTGCTCTTCCCAAGATCCCGCCCTTCTGCCTTTCAAATGACTCCTACAAATGTTTATGGAGGGCCCAACGTGTGCCCCATACTGTGCCAGCTAGGGACACAGTGATTAATAAGCCAGACAGACCCACTCTCTGCCTTCCAGGAGTTTGCAGTCCAGTGTGGACTGACATTTCCTAGCAGTACCTACCTCGTCCCACGCCTTCTGCCACTGAGTATTCCGAGCTTGTAAGAGCATTGCTTCTGCATTCAAAGTCCCACTTCTTGGTATCATGGAGCAATTATAAGGGGAAATTGAGACCTGAAGGATAAGTGACTTGCTCAAGGTCACAAAGTAATAGAAACAGGGCTACAGAAAGCACCATGTCCAGCGCTGGCTAACTGGTGGTCAACGTCAACATTCTTGTTGGCAACCCTGCTCTGCACATAATTCTATTAGCTTATAGATATGGTGGCCATGTGATTTATCATCCATAACAGGACACTTTGACAGTGAATGGGGCTGCCAGAACAGCAAGTGTAAACTAGGGTTGCACCAGACACAATAGGACATGTGGTCATTCTGTTTACAGGTAACTTCCCTGGTATAGGTCATTGACCAAGGTCAAGTGCAGAGAGGAGGCTGGGTGAATGGAACTCAGGTTCAGCATGACTTTTTTTCGGCCTAGAACTTCATACTGTCGGGACATGTCCCTGGAACTGCTCTGCTTCATTGTCTCTGAAAGTCTAAGGCTACATTCTGGATTTTCTAAGATGGCTTCAATTATAATTCAGTTCCCTTCTCTCCGTAAGTACACGTCTGCTTGTCAGACTACATACTGGTTATTTAGGAATACAAATATTGTCAGCAATAACAAGTCAGTTATTATGATCTTAATTTATGACCCTTCGTCTTTGCAAACCAAGACAATCGTGGCTGTGCCACTTAAGTAGAGGAATTTAAAGGCTGTGAAGCTTGTAACTCCCAGCTCTCCCTTAGGTGGAAGAGTGCAGACATACTCCAGCAGACCACTGCTGCCACTGCCTTCTCCTCCCAAAACAGGCTACTCAGAAATGTTCTGGAGAAAAGAGTGCTCCCCACACCCTCCCTAACCTGTACGTCCTCCTCAGCCCTGTAGGCTCTTTCTAGCTCCGCCACAATTATAGGACTGCTGACCTGGTTCAGAGTCCCCTCCTTGCACCCCAGGACCCTCTTCTTTCTCCACTGCTGCTCCAGTTTTCTGAAGTATGAGAAACACATGGAAAAGGCTTTGAAGGAAAGATGATCACGAGACCATAGGAGCCCACAAGGGAAAGTGCCCTGACCAAGTATTCCCAACAATAACCACATATTCCTAAATAACCAGTATGTGGTCTGACAAGACAGGCATTTATGGAGAGAATGAAACTAAATAATAATTGAAGCTGTCTTAGGAAATCCAGAATGTAGCCTTAGACTTTCAGATACAATGAGGCAGAGCAGCAGAGAGGCTGAGAGCTTGGGCTTATTCTTAAGCCTACATCCTAAATCATCTTTGTGACTTTGAGAATGTCTTTAAAACTCAGCTTTATCACACATTAAATGGGGCAAAAAGAGTCCCTACCTCACAGGGCTATCGGAAGGATTAAATGAGATGGTGTATATAGTATTTTCAAAACAGACCTTGCCACAGAGTAGCTATCTTTTGGATGATACTTCTCTCACCTTAGGTTGGCAGTTTGAATCCACCATCCACTCCTTGGAAACCCTGGGGTAGTTCTACTCTGTCCTATAGGGTCACTATGAGTCAGAATCAACTTGCCAGCAATGGGTTTTTCTCTCAGCTTGTATCTCCCAAGAAACATATTATGGATTTTTTATTTTTTTTAACTAAAAGTTTGAGGGGCTCCCACAAGAGGGGGAGTGTTGTGCTTTCTTCATTGACTAAACAAGTATTTTGGTTTCTTTGCAGGGATCTCGGAAGCTTCTGGAACTCGTCAGATACCACATTGTCCCATTTACCCAGGTTGGTCTCACTTTTCCTGCCTTTATTTTTCCCTGCTTTCAAGATATCAGGCCTGGTCTTAAATTCCAATATTTTTGTGCTAGAAAAAGTATGATGATGGTACTTTATTTGTATCTCTAAGTGAACCCGCCATGAATAATGAGTCCGTTAGTGAATCTTCAAAGCCACAAAAACTCGTGACATCAAAGCACCCATTATTTATTTCATGATCTCGAAGGCTATTTTTTTTTTCTAATGAAGACTAAGAAATCAGGGATCTGTATACTGCTCTCAATGTCCCTGTCTATTGTTTTCATTTCAGCTCGAAGTGGCCACTCTCATTTCAACCCCTCACGTTAGAAGCATGGCCAACCAGATCATACAGTTTAACATAACCAACAATGTAAGTGAAGAGTCTACTACTAGTATCATTACTTACATGCATTTTCACTCTGATTATGACTATTCATCAAGATAACCTGCCTCTACACTAATGCACAGGCTTAAAATCTTTATGATTATTTCATTCATTTGTTAATTCTTTCAGCGAATGTTTGCTGAGCAATTGCCATGTGTGAGATTCTGAGCTAGGAGCTAGAGAAAATGCAATGAAAAAATAGGCTCACATCCCAATAGGGAAATCAGACTTAAACAACTAATTAGGTAAGCAGTTAGTTATTTCATTACAATTTTAATAAGTGCTACCAATAAGAAGTTTAGGGGGCTGTAATAGCACATAA